AAGATATAGGTAACAATTTTATTGGGAGTCCATCTTTGATCTGGAAGTAGACATGCATACTGTATTGTATCCTCATATTTGGATATGATAGTCTCCATTACACAGTTACTATACATCCCCTTAAATGAAAAGCCACAAAACAAAATCAACAACAGGAAGAAAAGAAATTTAAAATGCCATGAAGTTAAATAACATGCTCCTATTGTGTCTCTGAAGAAATGAAAAAAAAACTTCTTGAAGAAAATGATGCTACAATATGATCTATGAGTCAGTGATGAGTTTAATGAAGAAGAAAGTGTTTTGAAGAGATGAAACTAAATTAAAAAAAAAATCAAAATTCATGAGGTATAGTTTCCACTGTTGTTTGTTGGTGAGATAAGTCTCCTGTAGGCAACAAATAAATGTGTTTTGTTATTTTAATCCAGCCTGCTAATCTGTGACATTTGATTGATGAGTTTAAGCCGTTTACATTCAGGGTTAATAAAAATAGGTGGTAATTTGGTTCTGTCATTTCAGCAATGGGTTGTTCATTGATTTAGTCTTCTGTTGTCATTTTACTGGGATGTTTGCATTTGCTTTTGGCTTTGGTGGGTGCTATTCCTCTTCTCATCAAGAGAACATCTTGAAGTATCCTTTGTAGGGCAGGTTAGGAAGAGGCATTTTCTTTTAACTTGCCTTTATTCTGGAAGAATTTTATTTCATCTTCAAAACAAAGGAAAACTGCTGGATATGTTATCCTGGGCCTATAATTTTTTGCTTTTAGGATCTGGAATATGTCACTCCATTCTCTTCTGACCTGCAGTTTCCTGTGAGAGGTCTCCTGGGAGCTTAATTGGCATTCCTTTATAAGTCATTTGATTTTTTTTTTCACGTGCACATTTCAGGATCTTTTCCTTATGTTCGATTGAAGAGAGCTTGATTATCATGTGTCCTGGTGAAGATTGCTTTTGGTCAACCCTGTTGGGAGTTCTGTGCCCCTCCTGAATCTTGTTTCCCAATTCTTTCTTTAGAGTAGGGAAATTTTCCTTGATTATTTCATTAAATACATCTGCAAACTCAGCTTCTCTTTCTGCACCTTCTGCGACTCCCATAACTCTTATATTTGGCCTTTCAATAGTGTCTTTCAGTTCTTGAATACTTTTTTGAGTCTGACTCAGCTCTGCTTCCAGCTTTCTGTTTGTTTCCAACTGGTGACAGGAAATATCTTCCAACTCTGAGATTCTTTCTTCTGCTTCTTTTATTCTATTTTGGAGACTACACTGTACTTTTAAGTTGCTCCACTGTATTCTTAATTTCTGATATATCAGTTTTCATTTGATTCATTTCCAGTGTGACATCTTCCTTAAATTTCTTGAACTCCAGTATTACGTGTTTCTCATTGTTGATAAGAAACTTTATAACAAGTGTTTTGAATTCTGTATCCCCCATTTACTTGATGTTTTCCTTAGTTAACTCTGAAGTTGGCACAGGGTTTTGCTCCTTTGCAGGGCAGTCTTCAGTAATATTCTTTGTGCCTCTGTCTCTTTTGCTCTTGGTCATTGTACTTCTGCTTATCAGATTCTTCTTCTTCTTCTTTTTTTTTTAAAAAAAAAATTTATTTTTTTATTTTCTTTATTGGAAAGTCAGATATACAGAGAAGAGGAGAGATAGAGAGGAAGATCTTCCATCTGATGATTCACTCCCCAAGTGAGCACAACGGCCGATGCTATGCCGATCCGAAGCCAGGAGCTTCTTCCTGGGTCTCCCACGCGGGTGCAGGGTCCCAAAGCTTTGGGCCGTCCTCGACTGCTTTCCTGGGCCACAGGCAGGGAGCTGGATGGGAAGCAGGGCTGCTGGGATTAGAACCGGTGCCCATATGGGATCCCGGGCGTGCAAGGCGAGGACCTTAACCACTGTGCCACCGCGCTGGGCCCCAGATTCTTCTTCTTGGGGTAGACTTCTAAGCTGTGTCACCACAGGTCTACAGGTCGATTTTACTTATTGTAGTTGGTACACGGCTCTTTGTTTATAATCACTTGTGCTTTTCACTCTAGTGAATTTCAGGCCACTCTTGTGGTAGGGTTTCACTAGACGCCCTCTATTCCATGCCTCATGGTTCACTACTCTCCACCTTCTGTGATACCGTGCTGAGGCTGCACTATTGCCTATACATCCTTTCCCCCACTTCCTGTTAGAGCAAGTCCCAGGATTAAGAAGACAACAGGTGTCCTATATAGCTAGGTTGTTGGTTGTGCTGATCTTGCTGGAACCTGCTGGCTGTTAGGTCTGAGGGCCACACAGACCTATTTTGACTCGTGCGATGCCAAAGTTGGTATTATTTCCTGTGGGACCAGTGCAATGCACTGAACTCAGTGAGTTCTCTCCCAGCTCAGCACATGCTCAGCTCTCTGTTGTCCCTGCAGTCTTAAAGCCTTTGCCACACTGTACAAAATAGTGCCTGATGTACCACTACTAGAGTTCTTGATCTGCTGGCTGTCAGACCTGAGGGCTACCCAGGCCTGTCTTGGGTAGAACCTGTAGAATGCCATGTTGTTGCAGTTCACTGAGCCAGAAATGAGTTCACTTCCAGCTCAGTGCATGCACAGTCCTGCCCATAGCCCTTGCCTCCTTAAACAAAATGATACCTAATTCACTCTAGGAGGTGGTCTGGGCTGTGAAATCCACCCTGTTCCTGCACTGCCCATCTGGGATCTGCCACTCTTGTCTCTGCTCCTGGTCAAATCAAACATGAGCAGTTCTTCATCTGGGTTCACCTCCTGAGCTCCCAGTGAACATTCCTTCCCATGTTGTTATTGGTGGAGTTCTGGCTGCCAGTGTAGTTCAGATCACCGCTTGCTGAATACTGCTGGGGTATCAGTCACTGCAACATTGCACCACTGTGTCCACTGCTCCTGTGTCTGTCAGTCTCCAGGTACCCCTCTGCTGTTGCTCTGTCTTCTCCTATTTCCTGAAACATGCCCTCTCTGCTTCACACTGGCTAATGTTTGTTGTTTAAATGTGTCCTTACCCTATTCACAATCTTGATTCTCCAGTCTTACGATTTTTACCTCTTATTCCTAAATAAGCTCTCTGAGTACTAAAAACACTAAGTTCTATTTGGCAATGAAATAAAGAGTAAAGAGAGTCAAAAACTACTTTTAATAGAAATAAGTTTCCAAGTATTTTTTTTTTTTTTAGAATTGAATGGTTCTGCAGTACCTGAGTGCCTTACTTATGCCACCGAAGTCTTGGGCTGCATAGACAGGATGCCTTGGTAAAACTCTCAAGCTCATCTCTCTAACTTTTTTTTTAAACTATAATGTATTCATTCTGTCTAACAATTCAGGTTACAAAGTAACTCACTTTAATAATGTGGACTCCCTGATGACAACATATTTAAGAAAAGCTTAGAAAATTGACTTCTGAAATACATCTATATGAATTTTAGTACCTAATGCTTGTCATGTTACTAAATATGTGCCTTTTGTTACACCCTCCTAAACCTGGTTTAAAAAAAGAAGAAGAAGATAGGAATAGGCTCAGCACAATTGACTCATCCTCACCTTGCCAGTGCTAGAATCCCATAGGGTACCAGTTTGTTTCTTAACTGCTCCACTTCCCATCCAGCTTCCTGCTTGTGGCCTGGGAAAGCAGTAGGGGACGGCCCAAAGCCTTGGAACCCTGTACTCATGTGGGACACCTGGAAGAAGCTCCTGACTGTTCCCTACAGATCGGCTCAGCTTTAGCCATTGTGGTCACTTGGGGAATGAACTGGGGATAGAAGGTCTTTCTGTCTCTGTTTCTCTCTGTAGATCTGCGTTTCCAATATACAAATCTTTTTTTAAGAAAATGAAAGGACAAGACAGGGAGGCAATGTTGTGGCCTAGCAAAGTTAAGCCATCTCTTGCAACACCAGCATCCTATATTGGGATGCCAGTTTGAGTCCAGTCTGTCCTACTTCTGATCCAGCTCTTTGTTAATGGGCCTGGGAAACCAGCAGAGGTAGCTCAAGTGCTTGGGCCTCTGCCATCCACGTGAGAAACCAGGATGGAACTCCATATGCTTAATGCTAGCCTGGAGCAGCCCTGGCATTGCAAACATTTGGGGAATGAACCAGTGGACAGAAGATTCTCTCTCTTTCTCAGCCTTTCAAATTTAGTAATTGATGGTTAATTAATTAATAAAACATTCAAATAAAAAAAGGTAAGACAGAGGTGGGTATTTGGTTAAGTGGTTGAGACACCTGTATTCCATATCAAAGTCTTTGGGTTTGATACTGTCTTCAGCACCAGCTCCAGCTTCCTGCTGATGTAATGCTGGGAGGCAGTGGCGATGGTTCAGATCATGAGTTTCCATCACCTGTGTGGGAGACTTGGACTGTTTCCAGGCCGTGGCTTTTCCTCTAATTGTCACGTTCACCTGACAAATGAACCAGTGGATGATGACAGCCATCTGTTGATTCCTCTGCTTGTCAAATACATTTTAAATTTTTTTTAAGTTTTAAAAATGATTATTTGAAAGGCAGAGTGGCAGAAGTGACAGAGACCATCGTCCCTCCTCCAGGTCACTGGCCAGATTGACACAACAGCCAGGATAGGGCTAGGAGGAAGCCAGGAGCCCAGAAGTCCATCTAGACCTCGCCTGTGCGTGGCAGGAGCCCAACCACTGGACCCTAAGCCGCTGCCTCCTAGGCTGCGTTATGGAAAGCAGAGAGCCAGGATTCAAACCAAGCCTCTGATTGGGGAAGGTGGGCGTAGCAAGTGGTGGCCTAGCCCGGTGTACTTCAGTACCCATCCCCAATAGATAAGCTTTTTAAAAAGAATGTTTCCAACACAAAGAAATGATGCCTATTTCAAAAGGAACAATTTTAATAAAGAATGCCTTGCTTTCTTCTCAATTAGGTCTCTTTTACCTGCTGACAGGCGACTACCTAACATTTGTAAATAAGCTGTTGTAATTTCTGTATTGTTATTCTTCATTTTCATCATATGTTGTTTTCATTGTTTCTGTTTTTCCTGCAGGTATTCTTGGCGTCACCAGTTGAGGGAATTTAAAAGTGAATATCGAGTTGTGGCTTTGGACTTGCGAGGCTACGGAGAGACAGATGCTCCTAGCCATCAAGAGAGTTATAAATTAGACTGTCTCATTACTGACATAAAGGATATTTTAGATTCCTTAGGTAGGTTAGTGAGTTTTTTTTTTTAAACCACATTAATTCTTTTGAAGGGACTGATGTTCAGCAAGCTGAATGGATGGCTTTTATCAGAGAGAGACTGCATTTTTCATCTGGCGGAACTTTATCTGAATCCTGTCATCAGGACACAAGCTGAGTTATTTGTACAGCAGATTTAAAATAATGTGTCTGGAGTGACTCTTTAGCCAACCAGCCATGAACGACTTTGGCTTTTAAACATAGACCTAATATATGCCATTTGTTGATTTTCGGAATTACTGAACATTTGACTTTTGTATGCAGAAACTTCATTCCTTCAGACTCCATCCCAGAATATTCATTTTAAATTGTCCTCAGTTGCAGAAGCACTTGTGTCTTCTCTGTTGTATCCATCAGCTATTGTCACAATGATTCTGTGTAACAAACCGCCCCAAACTTGGTGACATACACTGCAACTGTTTATGAATCTATGCATGGATCTGTGGGTCACTTAGAGGCTCTTTCCCTCCGTGTCTTTGCCTCAAGTTTAGGTCTCTGCCTGGACTGGCCTCTCGGTTCCTGTGAATCAGAGGCCAAGCTAAAGGAGTATAGCTATGGAGGTGCCGGGAGCTCTTTTGCTGCTGGCTGAAGGGGTGAGAGCAGAGTGCCACTGCACAACCTGCTACTAGCAGCCCATTGCAAGTCTTATGGTATAGCCCAAAATTGGCCAACATGAGACCAAAGCAAAGCACATGGGGAAATCTTTACATCAGAGCAGTAGCAGAGTGTACTCACTCCATGACAGTAGTGGAAGGGGGAGTAAGTGTTTTATTAGCAATAATCTGATTTACAACCTGTTTGACTAGAATGCAACTGCTACCATCAGTGTATTAATGGGATAATATAGTGAAAAATACCATGAAATTAAAAGTCCTTGTCAAATAATCTAGTAAGAGCATAGATTAAGCCAATGTTTTTAGAAAGATTTATTTATTTATCTTAAAAATCATAGTCACAGAGAAATAAATGGAATGATATTTCATTCACTGATTCAATCAAAAAAATGGCTGCAGTGGGCACTGGGGGGTCAGGCCAAAGCCAGGAGCCAGGGGCTTCATCCAGGCCACCCAGGTAGGCAGCAGAGGCCCAAATACTTGGTCCGTCTTCCACCGCTTTTGCCAGGTTATTAGCAGGGAGATGGATCAGAAGTGGAGCAGCCAGGATGCAAACTAGTGCTAGTATGGGATGCCAACATCAGAGGCAGTGGATTTTTCTATTATTCCACAGTGCCAGCCCCCAGATCAGTACTTCTAAAGAAGAAAAAAAAAATGAATGGGTTTTGGAGGTGTCAGCATGCAGTTTTGACACTTAATGGTGTTTTAGTAAAACAGACTCAGACACTAAACTTTGAATAGCTAGCTGTGTTTCATTCAGAGCTTGTGATAAAGTAGTCCAACATGGCCTAAATTTATCAAAAACTTTTTCTAGAAAAGTAATAATATAAACAAGGTGTGTGTGTGTGTTTGTGTAATGGTGGTGGATAATATTTACTTAAAAAGTTATTTTTAAGTACTACAGAAATTCATTCTAAATAAATCTTACCCATACATACGAAGTAGATCCTGTGGAAATCTCTAGTAATTCTAATTCCTAATTGAAATTACCATGGTGAATACTTTAAATAAAGCTTGTATTCATCACTATACTATAATTAAGACTTTTCACTAATTCCGTTTGATGTCATAGTTCCAAGTTAGTGATTTTTTAAAAAAGATATACTTATTTACTTGAAAAACAGAATTATAGAGAAAGAGGAAGAGACAAAGAGATCTTCCATCTGCTGGTTTATTCCTTAAATGACTGCGAGCCCTGGCCGAACCTGGAGCTCCGTCTTGGTCTCCAACATGGGTGCAGGGACTCAAGTACTTGGTCCATTTTTCACTGCTTTCCTGGGTACACTAGCTGGGAGCTGGATCAGAAGTGGAACAGCCAACACTTAAATTGCTGTGCAAGTGGGTGCCAGCCTTGCACCTGCTGTGCCACAATGCCAGCCTCCACATTAGTGATGTTTTAGTGTGTTGAGCTTCAATATTATTGGGTAAAATTAGTGAGAAAAATACACTTCTTGGAGGTTTTCAAGGGACATTTATAACTTAGAATGGCAATTTGTCAGAAAATAATCTAAATGATCTTTCTGATGACCTAATTATATGCAGTCCTTGTCATGGTTTCTCAAACAGGGGTTGACACAGTGGCCTAGCAGGCTAATCTGCCAAGCCAGTTTCAGTTCGTGTCCCAGCTGCTCCACTTCCATCCAGCTCCCTGCTAACGTCCTGGAAAGTGGTGGAAGGTGACTCAGATCCTTGGATCCCACATGAGACACCTGGAAGGAGCTCCTGGCTACTTGCTTTGGACTAGTGCTGCTCTGGCCGTTGTGACCATTTGGAGAGTGATCCAGAGGATGGAAAATCTCACTCTGTATCTTCCTCTCTGTAACTCTGACTTTACAAGTAAAATAAGTAAATATATATATATATATATATATATATATATATTTTATTTTATTTTTTTTTTAAAGATTTATTTTTTATTATTTTTTCATTGGAAAGGCGGATATACAGAGAGGAGAGACAGAGAGGAAGATCCTCCATCCGATGACTCACTCCCCAAGTGAGCGCAACGGGTCGATACTATGCCGATCCAAAGCCAGGAGCCTCTTCCAGGTCTCCCACGCGGGTGCAGGTCCCCAAAGCCCTGGGCTGTCCTCGACTGCTTTCCCAGGCCACAGGCAGGGAGCTGGAAGGGAAGCGGGGCTGCCGGGATCAGAACCGGCGCCCATATGGGATCCCGGGCGTGCCAGGCGAGGACCTTTAACCACTTGCGCCACCGTGCCGGGCCCTATATATATATTTTAAAAAAACCCACAATGAAAGACTTCTGGGAGAGACTGTGACTCAGTAGTGTTACTTGGGAGCAGGCATCTAGCCTCGCAGCTAAGATGCCTATGTCACTCATCAGCAGTTCACTATAGAGTCTGGGCAACTATAGTTGCTAAAGCTGTCAGTTTATTGATTTTAATTGAGGGTTTTTATATTCTTCAGTAACTAAGGCTCAGGGAGGAAAGGAGAAACTGGGACACAAGCCATGGTCTCAAGACCGATTGTTCTTGAGCAGCCACCATATTAACAATAGTAACCAACATATCAACAATAGCATAGGTAATCAGTAACAAGATGTCGGCAGGTACAGCATAAATTACATTCTGAAACAGTTGCTAGAAATAATTGAAGCTAAGCATGTGATTAGCTTCATAACTTCTTTCCCAAGCATCTAGCCAGCCCAGGGTTTTTCACTGGCCCATAGTTCTATATTCAAAATGGCTTCAGTGTGGCTACAGTACATGGCTCCTGACATGGCTTCAGTGTGGCTATACTACACGGCTCCTGACAGCTAAAAGCTGTCAAATAGTTGAGATTCACTGACAAGTTTGAGAACCACTGGATGCAATGTGTCTTTAAATTGCACATAGTTTATGGCATATACGAGAATTCTTCAAAAAGTTCATGAAAAATGTGAATTATGAAAAAAAAAACTATGCATGAGTCTCAAAATATTTTTGCACCAAAATAAACCCGTTTCCATGAACTTCCGGAAGTTTGTCGTAGAGGTAAGGTAATGGTGAGAGGAGTTTGAAATGTATAACAATACTATACGAGATGCTCATGTGCCTGCCTGTTTGTCTTCAGTGATGTCGATGTTTATTTCTCAATTACAGGGTATAGCAAATGTGTTCTAATTGGCCATGACTGGGGGGGCATGGTTGCCTGGTTAATTGCCATCTGTTATCCTGACATGGTGTTGAAGCTTATTGTTATTAACTTTCCTCATCCAAATGTATTTACAGGTGAGTTTTAATTTTTCAGTAGAAATCTCTGCTAATGTGACAACTCACTGTTATCCCTGACATTTTGGATTAAAAGCTTTGACATCTGGTGAATATAATATGCTCAAAATAAGATGATTGAATCATGCAGCACATCAGAAAGATACTTTGGTTTTACATTTTCTTAGGGTCTCAGAAAAATATCGCTTCATATTTACGTGAATGGTTTTATTTTATTTTTTTAATCTTTGTTCACTTGGAGAGGGATGAAGGGGGAGAATGCAGGGGCATTACTTTGGCAGTATTGAATCCTGAAGACTTTGGGTGTCAGGAAGAGCTGCGTTTGGTGAACCAGCAGTTCCCCAGTGTCTGGTCTCAGGGCTTCTTTATAACCTCAAAAGAATTAAAGGCCCCACTGAACTCCTGCTCACAGCTGTTTGATATTTACATATTCATATATAGGGAATGAAAACTGAGACATATTTACAAGATCTCTGTATTGATTCCCTGTTGGTACAAATAATACATTTTTAGCAAAAGCTAACTGCATTTTCCCAAAGTTTTAGTGGGAAGAGTGTCATTCTTTTTCACTTTTGCAAACTCTTCAGTTGTGGTAAAAGACAGCTGGATTCTCGTAGCTTATTCTGCATCCACTCTGCTGTAACGTGTTGTTGAAAGGATCTAGAGGAAGAAATGTGGCCTCAGATTTGTAATTGGAAAAGTGAGGAGTAATTTAATAACCTTTTCCAATAACTCTGGATTTTCATCCTTGATGTTTCACCGAACTCAGGAATGGTGAGTTCTCACAATGTGGAATGTGATGTCATATAAATGAACTATACTTCGTTACAATGAAATCCATCGACTCTCTAACACTTAGGATGGACCCTTTATCAATGAGCAATTTCATATCACCATGCATACATTGGAAGTTATGGGTTCACTAAGTTAACAGCACTTTCTTCAGTTGACATATTTCATTACACAGTGTCAAAAATTCTTGGAAGAGCCTTTATTCTTGCCAGGCTGTCAGGTTCACAGCACCAAATAAAAAACTTCCGAAATTCGAATTTTCATTTGGAAGCTTGAATTTAATCAACAGCAACAAATTCTATCGATTGTTTTCCTAAAAAATGACAGATTGTCTTTGTTCACTTCTGAGAGTTCATCAACCAATACCCATGTCTGACCCAGGGTGTTTGTTAGTCATTCATTCAAATTAAAAAATGGTGTCCCTTTAAAAATGCAGTTAATTCAATCCATCAACTCAAACAACTGCAGAAGTGCTTTTCCTATGGCAACCACTATATTTGTATGTGCAATAGTACCGCTGTATATGTACTTTCTATTTCACCGCACAACGTATTAAAAAGCTGTGTGCTCAAAGGCCAAAATCTGAAAATTCATACCTTCTGCCATTTCTTCCAGGAATTGTTAAGGGATGCTGACACTTATTCATTGGTTGGTTGGTTGCTCTGCCACAGTGTGCAGTGGTGAATGCTGCAGTGACTACCCCAGTTGCAGTGTTTAATCTGTTCTGAGGTGGCAGAGCTTTATCCACAATCGCTTGTGTGCCATCAATGCAGATACCAACATAGTATTTAGTGTTTGCATTTGTTATGAAACCATTGTGACCGCCTGGATACTTGAAGAGCACCTTGAGCTTCTCTTGGACCCACTGGGACTGTTCCTTGAGAATCCCTGCTTTAGTGGGAACTCCTGAAACTTAGTGACCAAAGACCTGTGAGCAATGGTGAAGGCACCAGTTTAGGTTGTTTGCCAAAGTTATAGCTTGTTCTTTTTATCTTTCTCTGGTTAAATAACTGCAGTTCAAGTATTGCTACACCCGCAGAAGCCCTCCAGAGACTTAAAAAAAAATCAACTCACAGAGTTCTATTTCTTCCTCAAAATTAAAGCAGTGAGGAAGAAAGGAATCATGACGATAGAAACATTGCCTATTTAAGCAGAAGAGGTGAGTTTTAGTTATGCATCCACTGGACCCACGTCCGCTAGGATGGGTGTGTAGCATTCAAATATCCTCACATTCATTATATATTTTTTTCTCACTTGAAGCACACAGCAGAAGTCAAATTCTCTGTGTATTCAGCTATTCATGACGTTGACACAAACATTATTTTGGAAGTGATATGATATAAACAGCTACAATTGGTTATTTCAGTAAGAAAATACTTGAAATGGTCCTAAAACTATTTTATCGGTAGTAGTTTCAACTCACAATAAGAGGAGACTTTTGAATTTAACTGTAGTAGTAGTTCTTAATGCAACAATGAATAATCTTACCTAGTGATAATTTCATGCAAAGTATGGCATAAAAAAATGGTACATCACCTAAAAATTGTATTTCTAAAAACTCCAAGCAAGCTGAATTTAATTATAAAATGGGAGATAAGACAAGCTCCGTAGCAAGGACAAAAGAGTGTCCCTGCACAATATGCAAGTGCAGTGGGGCTTCAAAAAGTGTGTGGGGGGGAGCCAGCATTGTGTGGCACAGGTAAACCTGCCACCTGAGATGCCAGTCTCTCAGATGGGTACTGTCTTGTGGCCTCGCTGCTCCCCTTCCAATCCACCTCCAAGCTCATGGCTGCAGAAAAGCAGCTGAGAATGTTTCGGTCCGTGCCACCTATGTGAAAAATCCAGATGAAGCTTATGGCTTCCACCTGGTCCAGCCCTGGCCCTGCAATTCATGTGGGGGAAGGAACCAGCAGATGGAAGATCGCCCTCTTCCTTTTGCTTCCTCTCTGTAATTCTTTCAAATGAATAAATCATTTAAAGAAAAGTTTGATGAGGAGAAGCCAGTGTTTTGGCACAGCAGGTTAACTGCTGATTGCCTCAGCATCCCATAGCTGGGCATCCGTTCAAATCTCAGCTGCTTTGCTCCCAGCACAGTTCTCTCCTGATGCTCTTGAGAAGATGGCAGAAGATACCCTGGATGCTGTTCTTTTCCCACCTTTGCCTGACTGGCTCCCTCTGGCCATGCAGGGCTCAGCCTACATATCACCTCCTCAGAGAGGCCTTCTCTGACCTGTTATTAATATTAATGGCTGTTAAGAATAGCCCTTCCACCCCACCCTCCCACCAGTCTCATTGCCTTGCTTTACTTCTACATAACATTATTACTGTTGAAAGTGATCATTTAAGAATTCGTTACTTCTCTTCTGTGTGAGGTCCTTGTTCATGGGTACCTGTTCTGTCTTCTCTGTTGCTAAATTCCTGGCACATAGTAGATATACCCACACTTCATGTCTGAATACGTTGAGTGTATTCACATGAACAATTTCAGTTCTTTTTGGGTCCAAATGAATAATGTATTCAAGTCATATAATCTGTAAGAAAAAAATACTTTTTTAAAAAGATTTTTTTTTTTAAATTAGAAAGTCAGATATACAGAGAGGAGCAAACAGAGAGGAAGATCTTCCATGCGTTGATTCACTTCCCAAGTGGCCGCAACAGCTCGAAATGAGTTGTTCCAAATCCAGGAGCCCGGAGCCTCTTCCAGGCCTCCTGCACAGGTACAGGGTCCCAAAGCTTTGGGCTATCTTCGACTGCTTTCCCAGGCCACAAACATGGAGCTGGATGGGAAGCAGGGCTGCCAGGATTAGAACTGGCACTTTTATGGGCTCCTGGGGCATTCAAAGTGAGGACTTTAGCCCCTAGGCTACCGTGCTGGGCCCAAGAAGCACTTTTAAACAAGAAATTACATCATTATGTGTTCTTAAGTATTGGGAAACTAATCATGGATGTGAAGGGAAAACTGTTGATTGGGCTTCCTGTTTCCTTCTGGGTTAAGACTTTTCAAATTGGGAGCTGGCACTTTAGCGTAGCTGGTAAAGCCACTGGCTACAACATGACATGTCAAGATCCTGCGTGAGCCCCTGACTCCTGTGAGACTCCTGGAAGAAGCTCCTGGCTCCTGGCTTTGGTCTAGCCCAGCTCCAGCTACCCACTGAGTAGTTTAAAGAGTGAATCAGCTTATAGAAGATCTCTCTCTGTGTCTTTCCTTCTTCTCTCTCTACAACTCCGCCTTTCAAGTATATAAAAATAAATCTTAAAGATTTCAGAAATTGGAATGTCTGTTTGATTTAAAGTGCTTTAAATTATCTAAATATTAGAAATACTTACAACAAAATGTAAGAACATAGAAATTATTCCAAAAAGAAATGCATAGAAGTCATGCGGATTATTTGTGAAATTTTCCTAAAAAGAAGTTCTTTCAATGGTAAATAATTTATGTCCCTTGGAAAAGGCTAACACAGAACTTTACTTTCAGAATATATTTTGCGACACCCTGTCCAGATGTTCAAATCCAGCTATTACTACTTCTTTCAAACACCACGGTTCCCAGAATTTATGTTCTCAATAAATGACTTCAAGGTAAGTTATATAAACAATGTATTGATATTATGAATGGAAATGTTATGTGAAAATTTAAATTTAGACATATTCATTTGTGTAGTTAGAGGATAGAAAAGTATTTTTTTAAAGATTTATTCATTTTTATTACAAAGTCAGATATACAGAGAGGAGGAGAGACAGAGAGGAAGATCTTCCGCCTGATGATTCACTCCCCAAGTGAGCGCAACGGCCAGTGCTGTGCCGATCTGAAGCCGGGAACCAGGAACTTCTTCCGGGTCTCCCACGTGGGTGCAGGGTCCCAAAGCTTTGGGCCACCTCGACTACTTTCCAGGTCACAAGCAGGGCACTGGATGGGAAGTGGGGCTGCCAGGATTAGAACCGGTGGCCATATGGGATCCCAGGGCATTCAAGGCAATAACTTTAGCTGCTAGGCCACACTGCCAGGCCCTAGAAAAGTATTTTTAAAGTTCATTTTAAGAAAAAAGTGAAACTGAAAAAAAAAAGCTCAAGTTTAATCAATGTTATAAGAATTTACTTATAATCTGTGTTTATACATTAGAATATTTCCCAAGTTGTTCATTTATGTGTGTGTATGAGCACTTGTGTCCCGATGGGAATACCTCTTTTTTTGGAGAACTTCTCATTGGGAGATTAGGCAACAGGGAGTAGCAGATGAGAGAGCTGGACAGTAATAGAAGTGAAAGTTCTCAGGTGCACGCTGGGGCATCAGGGACACTGACGCCGGGAGTGTGCAAGTGTTCTGGAAGCTCGCTGAGTGCTTCTGGTTTATCCAGCGTGATATCAGACACTGGAGAAGGTTAAGAAAGATGTAATACCGTTTCACTTGGAAATAACTCTGCATCCGCAGGTATGCTATAAAAAATTCATAGAACATGGAATTAAAGGATATTTTGATTCAAAAAATTTTTGAAACTTCTCATAACACACATTTCTCTGGAAGACCCCTCATATCTCTGAGAGATAAGGGCTTTATTTGCTTTTGTAACTCAATACCACTATCAAACCTAACAAAATGAATGACCACTTCTTAGCATTTATCCATATTCAAATTTCCTTAATTTGTTAGTTATCTTGATATGATTCATTTTTTTTTTTTTGGAGTCAGGAACCAAAGAAGGTCTGCATGTTTTATTTGTTACCACATCTTCAAAAATCTAGAATGCTGCCTCCACTTTGTTCAGAGCCACTTATTTGTTGAGCAAATTTGGCTATTTGTCCTCCTGAGAGTTGGCCAATTGTTGCATTGAGGCAGTGTTTAACTTCTTCCTCTGATTTCTGTTTTTCCCACTTATACTGCTGCTGTTCTAGAGGTTCAACTAGACTGAGTTCAAATGAGCTGTTTCCAAGTGCATCCCCTGCGGGAGGCACGCCATGTACAGTTATCTTGGGCTGAGTAATGCTGACGCAGATCCTTTAAGCTGGGAGTTACCAGCCTATCTGAAATGCCTTGGCAACTCTTCTCCAACTTAATGTTAGTATACATGGATGAGCATGGGCTAGGTCTGTCATATTAATCTGTACAAAATGGTGATTTTCAAATTCTGTCAGTTTTTCTGCTTTATTAACTGGAATTCTGTAAAAAAAAACTATATGTCTTTTCCACATATGCTTATTTGCTTATTCTGAAATAATAATGGCAGGACAGATATTTCGTTTGTTACTGAACACCTTTCAAAGGAATGAGCATATGTGTGATACATACAATTCACTTACAATTGCTATTCTTTTTGATACCCAGGCTGTCCCATACTAGGCAACCCTTCAGGTTGACTCCTCATGACAGAATCCCTTAAATTAGGGGCGACTTGCTTCCTTCAGTGTCCTGAGTTTATCTTTTATTTCCTGTTCCTAATGTGGAATCAGTCACTTAACTGAAGAACTGTGGTTCCATTTAGTAGGAAATTATATTTAGAAACCATAGTCTATGTGATCAAGATGATCATTATAACTGAGCTTTTATTGCTTTTGGAATTTTCCATTGGACAAAACTCGGACACTTGTTTTTTTTGAAAAATAAATACATGCATTGTATAATGGTCAGTTTTTCATTACTCTAACAAAAAACCTGAGACAGTCTATGTTATAAAGAAAAGAGACTTTACCCTGATGGTTCCAAAGATTCACAGTCCAAGATCAAATGGGCCCCAGTTCTAGTTGCTGGTAGTAAGTTCCTTGCTGGCTGAGTCCCCAGGTGCCATTAGGCACCACACAGCAAAAGAAGGGGAGTGTGTACTTCTCTTCCTGTCTTAGGGCCCTCTCCCTAAAACCTGTTCCAGTCTGCCCGTTGTAAAGGTCCTACCCACAAATGCCTAGCTTGTCCATATCACTAAGTCTTTGGGGAATAAGTTTCATACATTTGAGGCCCAAAGTAATACTGAAAACATAGCAAATTTTTACTTACATTTCCAAAGCAAATTTAAAACTAGACAACTTTTTCTGACTTCTGTGACTTTGCATAGAGTATTTATATGATTCCAAGTCAAGGCTTTAAAATAAAGCATATTTAAAGGGATCTTGCCCACCTAATCCTCACCTTTTCATAGGAAGTGACATTGCTTACTTTTATCCTTCTATTGTTTTCTTGCCTTTTCCCCTGTTCTTTAAAAAATGTGTATATTTATGTGTCTCCCACTTCTTACCAGAATGTTAGCAATATATATATTAAAATAATAACAACATGAGTAATTATTCATAAAATAAAATAATTATATAATCATGTATATTATATATTATATATAATTATGTATAATTGTAATATATTAATAATATAATATAATATTATATATAAAATAACATATAATATAATGATGTGCTATATAATAATATATGGTATATAATAATATAATATCTATATATATTATTTTCTATCTTTACTTTTTTCTCCTTCATTTAACAACTAGAGATCATTACATATCAGCATGTAGCTTTTCTTTCATTTTAAAGGGAATTTTTAATATATTAGATTCTCTGGGTCACAGTAAATGCATAATAATGACTATAACATGATTCCCATCGATTCTCGTGTTAGTGTAGCTGGGTCAGACAAAGCCAAGAGCCTGGAACACCATCTGATCCCTCACGTGAATCACAGGCTCCCAGTGACCTGGGCCATCAAGGCTGCTCTCCCAGGCACATTTGCAGGTATCTAAATCTGAAGTGGAGCAGCCCAGACTCGAACCAGCATTCATATGGGATGTCAGTTTTCACAGGTGATGGCTTGACCCACTGCACTACAACTCTGGCCCCATTATCTTTCCAGTGATTCTGTTGCAGGTGGTTCAAGTCTGTACTTTGAGCAATGCTGACGCAGAACAGTGTTTTTCAAATTATGGATGGGACCTTTCAGTGAACAACAAAATCAGTTTAGTGGTTTATGGATAAAAATTTTAAAACTTAAGTAGAATAGAATTGGATTAAAGTAGTATACATTACAGTAAGAACTTGGGAAGGCACAGCTGGGGCTGGGCTTTGTAATGCATCAACAGCCACTGGAAATAACATTAAAGGCAAACCTAGTGAAGCAGAAATGTATAAAGGAGTTGTAAGCAATCATGTCCCTAGCCTCATGGCTAGGACAGAGATCAGAGCCGCATGCCCTTAAAATGCCGATGATGCAAAATATTATTCGATAACTCAAAGGTTTTAGTTGTTCTGTTTTCACTTCAATTAGGCCTTGAAACACCTGTTTACCAGTCATAGCACTGGCATTGCAAGAAGAGGATGTCGACTGACAACAGAAGATCTTGAAGCTTATCTTTATGTCTTTTCTCAGCCCGGAGCATTAAGTGGTCCAATTAATCATTACCGGAATATCTTCAGGTCAGTGTGAGTGAATTCCTGGTAGCTAAGTAAATGATTATGATATGATTCTAAAGAGATAATACTTTATTCTAACTTTTAATTTTATTTTTAATGTTTACATGGTTGAGAGGGATGCATACTCATGTAGATTAGGGTGGGAAGGGATGAGGAGGTGGGAGGGCTAAATGTTTCCTTTTTTTTTTTTTTTCATTTTCTCTTTGTCAAAAGGACAGGGAAAGAGAAGCGGGCCACTCCTTGCTGCCAAACTACAACACCACCTGAGGATAGGGGACAGTCCTATGATATAATCTTAGAGACCCCATTGGGGAACATTGTTTCAAAGGTGTTACTTGAATGGTTTTGATAGTTCTGAGATGTGGTCGGTTTCACTACTTCAGGGTTGAAAGAATCTTTCCAAGGTCTACTCCACCTTGGTGCATCCACAAACCCAAACACTTGCTGTGGAGCTTGGCCAGGATTGTTGTCCAACCTGTTCTGCTTTCCATCTTCTGGAGCACTCAACATCTTGTGCTGGCCTAAATGAGTTGGCTATCATATGCCCTGAGTGCATCTGTGTATGCTGTCTACTGCATGGGCATCAGCAATTGAGGAGACGCCATTGTGACACATGTACTCCAAGGATGAATCCCATATCTTGTGATTCTCCCTGTGGCTGGAGTTTGAGTCCAGAGGTATAATTAGGAGGTCCCCCAAGAAATCTTGCCTGGGGTGATCCCAGACCTGACTCTTGTGTTAGGTAGTGCAGGATCTGGTTCATTCCATCACCTGCAATAGCCAACCCATACAGAGATGAATGCAGCTGCCTGATCAGCTTCATCTCAACCAACAAAGGCATTCCTCCTCTATCAAATATGCCCTCAGCTGCTCTCACTCTAATATGTCCCCAGACTCCTTTCCCTGAGCAATCTGCAGCCCTCCCTCACCAGCCTGAGGGCTGGGGTAGCATGTCCCACCTTGGCATACCCTACCTTCGTCACATATAGAATTATTATAAATAATTATATGTTAATAGAATTGACAACCATGCTGGTACACTGGTATAGTTAGCACAGATTTAGCATTAAGCAGACCTAGGCCTGCCAACTATTGGCTGCATTTCTTCTAACAGTGTAATACTTGCCTAGGTACAAGGTAACTTAATCTGTTGTCTACAACTGGTTTATTTTTAGGAAGTTGCATGATTTTTTATAGAAAATTTCAAAAATATGAAAAATTAGGAAGACTAATATTAATGTGACTTGTTTCATCTATAGCTCTATCCACCTTCTTTCTCCCTTTACCTTACTTTGAATCAATTTCTGTTTTAGTTGTATATGTGTGTGTGTATATATAAATATATGTATGTGTATATATATAATTTAAAGATTTATTTCATATATTTGAAAGAGTTACAGAGAAAGATACCTTCCATCTGCTGGTTCACTCCCAAATGGCCACAATGGCCAGAGCAGCCCAGTCTGAAGAGCCAAGAGCCAGGAGCTTCTTCCAGGTTGCCCACGTGGGTACAGGCACCCAAGCAGTTTGGCCATCATTTGCTGCATTCCCAAGAGCATTAGCAGGGAGCTGGATTGGAAGTGAAAGAGCCAGGACTCAACCAGTGTTCATAGGATGCTGCAGGTGGCAATTTGAATGCTGAGGTACTTAACTGGCCTTAGAGTGGATAAATTTAAGAGGTAAAACCTATAGGAGTTGACAAAGAATGACATACATGGGAAGAAAGATGGCCAAGATACCTACTGGATTTCTGGTATGCACTGTTGTGCGTCGTCCCAGTTTTTACTGAGATAAAGGTAGAAGAGAATTAGTTTCTAGGGGAAAGTCACGAATTTTGACTGATCTTAGGCTAGCTGCATTTGAGGTAATGCCTTGTGTATTTAAAAAGATGACTGGATGTTAGGATCTGGAATACGGAGAATTGAATCTTGGATGAAGATACGTAAAATCAGCCAGACCCTGGCGTGGAGATAATGGAAGCTTTGACTTCAGAAGATACTGTCTAGAGAGGGGAGAGGGTGAAAGATATGACATGGAGATTTGTCAGGTTCTGATTGGACCTTAAAGAGGAGAAAAGATTTTCTTTTGAGAATTAGCAACCACAATTTATGTTGAGAATTAGGGGTCTGAATTTGTGTCACCTTCATGATACTGAAATGCTTGAGGCAGAAATTGCATTTTAACATAGTTTCAAGCTGTTAATACCCTGTAGGAAGCATGACAGAAACAAAGACAAAACTTCTTAGAACACATTTCGATGCTGACCTCACAAACTCCCTGGTGCTGACTTCCAATCCAGTTAGCAAAACACAGCAGGCCACCATTGCTGAGCATCAGAATACAATTGAGTGGAACACCTACACAATTTGCATAATACAACCAGCAGATGATGAAGTATAGTTAAACAATTAAATCAAAGACAAAATTTTTCTTAGGATTTATTTATCTTTATTGGAAAAGCGGATATACAGAGAGGAGGAGAGGCAGAGAGGAAGATCTTTCTTCCGATGATTCACTCCCCAAGTGGCCACAATGGCTGTAGCTGAGTCAATCCAAAGCCAGAAGCCTGGAGCCTCTTCCAGGTCTCCCATGCGGGTGCAGGGTCCCAAGGCTTTGGGCCGTCCTAGACTGCTTTCCCAGGCCACAAGCAGGGAGCTGAATGGGAAGCAGGGCTGCCGGGATTAGATCGGCAACAATATGGGATCCCGACGCATTCAAGGCGAAGACTTTAACCAGTACGCTATCACGCTGGGCCCACAAATTTTTAAGTATAAAGAAAGAAAAAGATAATACCAAGACAAATTGGAAATAGCTGAAAAACAACTTTTGAATACTAAAATCTGAAAGTCCATAGGTGAGTTAAATAGATTTAGAAAAACTAAAGAGAATTATGAATTGAAAATTAGATCTGGAAAAAGTTGCCTAGAATGTAGCTTACAGAGATGAAGAAGTGGAATTTCCAAAAACTGATTGTATTTGACATGGAAGAAGGAATTAAGAAGGGTGTGTGTGTGTGTACATGTATACTATATTTTTTTTTAATAACGTAAGCAGAATGTAGTGTTTTCAAACCAGTAGAAGGGGGACAGGAAAAAAAAACCTGTTAATTCAAAAGGAAACAGGAGAGGAGTGGGGAGGGTAAGCAAATCAGAGCAAATAGAAGACACAAAATAGAATGACAAAAATAATTTCAGACTGTTAATAAGCATAATCAATACTAACGCATTACTTTTACCAGATGAAAAACTAAATATTCGCTTGGAATTTAAAAAAAAAAAAAACCTCTAATTCACAATTAAAGCATTAGGACAGGGATGGGCGTTTGGCCCGATAGTAAAAATTCCACTTGGGACACCCATATTATATATGACAGGACTTAGGTTCAAGTCCCAGCTCTGCTTCCAGTGCCACCTGCCTGCTGCACCCCAGTGGGACGCAGCAGAAGATGCTTCCAATGCTGAGTCCTTGGCACCATTTGGGAGACTCAAACTACATTCTGGGTTCCTGGGCTGGGCCTGACCAGGCATGTGAATGGTGAACCAGTGAAGGAAAGGTCTTTCTCTCTCTCCATCTCTCTGCCTTTCAAATGAAGTGAAAATATTAAAATATAAGAACACAAAATGCCTGGAAGGTGGGGGGAAATTGTAGCAGGTGTTAGCATAAATAATACAAAATCTCTCAAATTCTTTGAATGTGGAATCCAAATGGAGTTATTGGATTATATGAATGAGGGAGAAGAGATAAACTCAAATCTTTGTTGACTAGTAACAACAGCAATATACTTGCAAATACCTGCCCCTCTCCCCAACACAGATATTTCCAAAAGTTTGTGGAAAATGCAGTTAAACATGTTTATTTTAGTGTAAAAAAGAAAATCCATGTACAGTTTTCATTATAACTATTTCCCATGAACTTTTTGAAGGACTCCACATATGTGTGTATGGTATTTGCAGTTTAAAGATGCTAATTTAAATGTAGGTAATAGCTTATCAAACAACACAAATGGAGACTGTAGAAGCTTCCCATGGCATTTTATAGGCTATAACAATAATGGCTGAAGTCCTTGTTGTTTTGTTTTCTTGATGTTTGTTTTTTTTTTTTCCATGGAAAACTTTTGCAAAGAGAATGACGCATTCTCACACAACTCTTTGTTTCAGACAAAAGACTAGAATGATAGTATTTAATATGTCTTCATTTTACTGCTTTGTCAGTGCTATCTTTGAGATGCAGAACGGCATGCTTTCGGTAGCAATGGGGAAGAAGCAAGAATAACTCATCCTGCTGAGGTCCCTTAGGAGATTCATTCCCAAGAGCAAGCACCAGAATCCTGCTAATTAGCAGAGGTGGGGGCAGGGGAGAGAATGCAGAGAAACAGGCCTAAGCCTAAGAATGGCCACAGTCAGTTTTATAAACACAGGTAAGACAGGGTTCTAGCTGGAGTGCTGTAGGTTAGAGGTCTCTGGGCAAAGGTCTCATCAGGCCTGCTCAACACACAGCTGACTTCTCTGAAGCAGTTCTTCAAATTGGATTAGCAAAGTACCCCATGAAAGCAGAGTTATAAGATGCATAATAACACTACAAATATGGCAAAGTACATTATGTTAAGGCATGAAAATAATCTTTATTTTTCACCCCCAGCCTCCCCAGGATCGCAGCCTCCTCTAAGAACTATCCAAGATTTGGAAATGAGGAGCCAGAATGAGCTGGAAATCACATGGGCTATTGGGCCTATGCTGTAAAAAGAGAAGGGCCAGCATTGTGGAGTGCTGAGTAAAGCCTCTGCCTATAACACTGATATCCCCTGTGGACACCAGTACTAGACCAAGCTGCTCCACTTCCCATTCAGCTCCCTGCTAATGTGCCTGGGAAAGCAGCCGAGGATGACCCAATGCTTGGCCCCTGTACCCACATTAGAGACCTAGAGTAAGCTCCTGACTCCTGGCTATGGACTGACCTCCTCTGGCTGTTGTGGGCATTTAGGTGTGAACCAGCAGGCAGAAGGTATCTCTCTGTTTCCCCTCGCCCCTCTAATTCTGCCTTTCAAATGAAATTAAAGATGACCAAGTCTTAAGGGCCAACAGAACATCATATGATGAAGCAAGCACTGAGATATTTATATAGAAAAACGGACAAATCTGCATTACTTTACGGGATTTTAATTCACCTCTTTCACAAATTGATCAGTTTTTAAAAAGTACAAGGGTATGAAAGATTTGAACAAGTACATTAATGTGTTTTCTTTCATTAAAAATTTTAAATCCAGTAATTATGAAATTCGTGTTATTTTCAAGAATATAAGGAGTATTTACAAAGATTGATTATATACTAGACTAAACAGCAAAATTTAACCAATTCCAAAGAAGTTACAAATTAATAAAAAATGTTTTAGGAAATTCAGCATATTGAGAAATTTGAAAAATGCCACTAAATAATTTGTGTGTCAAATATATCATAACGGAAATTAGTAATAATCTAGGAAAGTGATACCATGGACACTTATGGAATATAATTAAAACAATGCTTAAGAAGCAATGTATATCTTCACATGGTAATACTAATATTAATTAGGAAGCTAATAAGCAAAAATTCCAGTTTAGGAACTTAGAAGAACATGTAAATGAAAATAAATTAGCAGGAAAGTAATTTAAACTAGATAAAAAGCAACGATATAATGAAAAACATAGACACAACATAGAGAACTGACAAAAGCAGATTCTCTGCAAAGACTATTAAAGAAAAATTGGGGGGAAGCTTGAGGGAAGGCACAAATAAAGATTATCTTGTTTTAGAGTTTATTTTTATTGTAAAGGCAGGTTTACAGAGAGAAGGAGAGACAGAGAAAAAACCTTCTGCTGGTTCACTCCCCAAGTCGTTACAGGATCCAGAGCTAAGCCAATCTGAAGCCAGGAACCAGGAGCTTCTTCCAGGTCTCCCTCGCAGGTACAGAGTCCCAAGGCTTTGGGCTGTGCTCTACTGCTTTCCCAGGCCACAAACAGGGAATTAGATGGGAAGTGGAGCAACCAGGACACAAATCGGCACTCTTAATGGGATCCTGGGTGTGTTAGGTGAGGATTTAACCACTAGGTTACTGCGCCAGGCCCAAAGAGTATTTTGAATTAGAAAATAGAAAATAGATATATTTATACAAGTGCTTAGATTGCTGCCACCCAGCGGTGAGAGCACAACTGCTGCTGCCGTTTGCAGGATGAGCCAACAGGTGGAGGATCTGTCCGCGTGTGTCTCTCCCTTATCTCTGTCACTCTGCCTTTTGAATAAGTGCATATTTTCTTTGCAAAGATAGCGTGTTGTTTTCTCTTACAAGTGAAAAGCAGGGTTAGTGTGGTGACTGTGCCCCAGGAGGCTCTCTTTGATCCCAGGCCCAGGAGCTTTCTGTTTTGTCCTGCCATGCCTGGGGTACCGTCACTGTCTGTGTGGCCGAGGTGCAGGCGCATGTGCCCTCTGCACTGCAGCTGCTGGGAAGTAGGAAAAGGGAAAGTGACACAACCCAGGGAGTTGCACATGTTGTTTCTCAAAGCCCACACCTTCACCTAGCTGGAGGAAACCTGAAATCTAGGCAGTCTTTGGGCTGAGTAGCCATTTAGCCCACTAAAAACTGGATTTTCTTTCACCATAATGGAATGACGTCTTGTGAAACGATTTCTGACAAACAAGGTAAATGAAAAGCGTTTCACATTCAATTAAGTTAGGAAATTAAATATTTGACAATGATGTGGAACAAAGAGAATTATATGTTGCTTGTGAAGCATATGGAAAACAGCTGGACAACATTCAGTAAGGTTGAAATTTTTATTTAGTAGAAAGACAGAATTACCAAAAGAGAGGAGAGAGAGAGAGATCTTCCATCTGCTGGTTCACTCCCCAAATGACTGCGAGGGCCAGGACTAGGCCAGGCCAAAGCCAGGAACTGGGAGCTTCTTCCAGGCCTCCCATCCGGGTGAGCCATCCTTCGCTGCCTTAGGAAGCATGTAAGTAGGGAGCTGGATCTCAAGTGGAGCAGCTGAGACTTGATCCAGCATCCATATGAAATGCCAGCACTTGCAGGACAAGGCTTAGCTTACTTACTATGCCACTGCTTAAATCCAGATATACGTCTTGAAAACATTCATGCAGATGATAATAAACCAATTCTGGCCCACTCATGACTACTAGAGCAGTGGTCTTTACTTTCTAGTATGTGGCATGGTAACAGGGAGGGCTTATGAAAATGCAGACTGGACCACACGTCTGCAGTATCCGATTCAATGCAACCAGTGCAGGATCCAAGCTCTGGCTTGCTTAACAAGTCCCAAGATGATGATGCTATTGGTCCAGAGACAACACGTTGAGAACCATTGCCTTAGGTCAAGGGGAAGGAGAAAGATGAAATTGTAACAGCAGAACTTTATTCCTTAAGCTGAGTGATGGATATGTAATTGTTATTTTCTACATTAATTTTTAATGAAAGAAACAAACTATTTATTTTTAAAAAGTAAGAATAAAATATGTAACAGTCTGTAAATTGCTACCACAATACTTGTAGTTCAGCTGATAGCTCAAGACTTTAGAAGAATAATATTAAAATTGCAACTATAGTTTTTTAGGTTTTTCAAATTGTCCATATACCACAATTGATGATTTAGTCATAAATTTTTTATCTAGTATTTCCCAACGAGTTATTTATCTTAATAACCTACTCTTAATATGTGTGATATTTTATCTTACTTCATGTGTAATTTATACTTCACATTGAATTTAACAATCTATGGCCTCACAAAGAAAATATGCTTACCTTTTACTGTTCTGGGAACTTCTTCCTATTCTGCCCAGTTTTATCTATGAACAATTTCAATTTCTTTTTCTTTTATCATTACCTGGTTAATTCAATTATTGGTTAAATATAACCAAACTGTACAAATCAGGTTGGAAAATGATTTCATCTTGAGCATTTCAAGTACTGCAAAATTTATTTTTGTCAGTTTATATGTTAATAAAAAACTTAATTTTGAGCTGCATTTTAACAACCAAATGATGCCATCTGCCATGCATCATATGTTAAATCCTTGATTGGCATATGTGGTATCCTGTTGCTGCATCTTACCAACCCCGAGTGGCCACAAGTCAAGTAATATTCTTTGTTTTTTATTATTAACAAGCAAAAATATGAGTGGGTGCTGGACAGCATCTAATTGGACTTTCATTCTCGTTGCTAGTCAAGAGGAATCTAATTAACACCCATCACCTTTCTGAAAAGCAGTGTAGCAGACGATGTCCAAAGCTTTAAGTATTTTGGCTCAGAAATTCCACTTACTGGGCTGTAGCCCAAAAAAAATTTCTGAAATGCCAACATAGATTTGGGCACGAAGTGCTCAATACAGCATCTGTTAAAACAAGGGAGATCCCATCTCAGCTAAATACTCAAGTGATTTGTAAATTATTAGACCATAGGGGTAGTCAAGTCATTTATGGATTTTTATACCAGAGAGTCATACTTTTTACAATTTTTAACGTAAAAAAATTCACAAGATATCATTTAATTTAAAGTGAACATTCATACAATGTAGAGATTGAATATATTTATTATGTAAAAACTGTATGGTCTCAATTACACTCACGGAAAATGATCGAAAGATGATCTTTTTTCTATTCAAAGTTTTTTTTTTTTTTGGAAAGGCAGATTTATAGCAAGGAAGGACAGAGAGAAAGATCTTTTATCTGCTGTTTCACTCCACAAATGGCTACAAAAGACAAGCTGAGTTGACTCAGAGCCAGGAGCCAGGAGTCCCCTCCCGGTCTCCCATGTGAATGCAGGGTCCAAAGGCTTTGGGCCATCCTCCACTGCTTTCCCAGTTCATAAGCAGGAAGGAAGTGGAGCAGCTGGGACAAAAGTCAGCATCCACACGGGATGCTGGCACTTGCAGGAGGAGGAGGATTAGTCAGTTGAGCCATTGTGCTGCTCCCCCACCCCTGCCGCCAAAGTTTATATGTGATGATGGGATTACTCACAATTTTGTTTCTATTCTTTGTACTTATCTCTGTTTAAGAAACTACACAGTAAAAACTTTGTTTTAAAAAGAACCTTCTTGTTGGGAGCTGGCAGGATGGCTCAAGTGAGTAATCCTCCACCTACAAGCACTGGCATCCCATATGGGTGCCAGTTTGTAACCCAGCTGCCCCACTTCCCATCCAGCTTCCTGTTGTGGCCTGGGAAAGCAGACTCAGCTCTGGCCATTGCAGCCCTTTATGGAGTGAATCAGTAGATGGAAGATCTTTCTCTTGTCTCCTCTTGTCTCTGTAAATCTGCCTTTTCACTAAAGAAATATTTTTTTAAAAGAACCGTCTTGCAAAGTAAACATAGTATCACAAAATAGTAAAGCTTAGTCCAAATATATGTGCTGATTTTTCAGCTCTGATTTTTACAAAAAGCACATCATATTATTTAAAACATTTTTCTTAATGTGACGAAATAGCAACACAGTACAAAGCTGTCCCTCATCGTACCATTCCTTTAAAGCAAATTGCTCCTCATAGTGATGAATTTTGTGTTTAACATATAGTCTTCATCATCAATTTTTCTAGCCTCATTCAATCTAAAATTTTATTGGACTCTTTCCTAAGTGGCCTTTTAAAATTTTTATTATAGAGGTTGACTGCCTAGTGCAGGGCTTCTCAACCTTTTTTTTTCCATTATCACCTCACCAGGGAGCACCTTTAGACTTTTTTCTCCTAATCAGCACAGCCCATGAAATTTTAATGTGTGCTTACATACAGTCCATATGTCTATGTTTTGTATATAACAAGTAGACTTCCACCCTCCTAAGAAGCAATTTTCACCCTTTTGCAGGTTATATTATCCTCTAGGGAATACATGGCCTGATAGAACATAATGGGAAAATATTATTTTAATTTTTTGATCATAATCCCAAGCCCACGTGTTTTGTTCTTGTAGCTGCCTGCCTCTTAAACATCACATGGTGACCACTCCAACACTATTACTGTGGGGCGAGAAAGACGCATTTATGGATGTTGAAATGGCTGAAGTCACAAAGATCTACGTGAAAAACTATTTCAGACTAACCATTTTGTCAGAAGCCAGTCACTGGCTGCAGCAAGACCAACCGGACATAGTGAACAAATTGATATGGACATTTCTGAAAGAAGAAACAAGAAAAAAGGACTGACTTGCCTTTATCTTCTCTGAGGGATCTGTAAGAAAATCTCTATGTAAATTTAAAAAAATTTGTTCACCAACTTCTTTTTGTTTTGTTAGGGAAAATCTGTTTCAATATCATGAATAAATGAAAAACCTGAGAATGTGTGAACCTGTAACATAATGTCGATTTTCATCTGTTGTAATTTGCACAGAGGAGTCTGCCTTAAAATGTATGCACTTGTATAGAAAGGAAAGTGGAGAATGTGGCTCAGTGTGGATTTCTTGCTTCTCTTCTGGTAACTTACGGTGCCTTTTACAAGTGTATGTTAAAGACGAGCCATGCCATATTAAAAATCAAGTCTGCAATGGCATACATATTCATTGTATTATTTAAAAGTTCTAATTACTAGTTTTAGCTATTAAAAATCTATTATCAAATTTCAGACTTATCATATTTCTTAGATTGAAGTTCAACGTTATTGATGAATATGCATTCTTAAAATGAGCCATAAGTAAGTTTATTTTTAAAAAAATAAGATTTATTTATTTAAAGAGTTAGAGAGTGAGGCAGAGAAAAATCTCCTATCTCCCGGTCCACTTCCCAAATAGCTACAATTACAGGGTTGCACCAGGCAGAAACCAGGAGCCAGGATCTCCATCTGGAATGCCTAAGTGAGTGGAAAGGGCCCCAACACTCAGGCCATCCTCGTCTAATTTTCCTAGACCCTTAGCAGGGAACTGGATCAGAAGTGTCACAGCCAGAACAGGAACCAGCATTCCTATAGGCTGTCACATTACAAACCACAGCTTTTCCTGCTATGCCACGACACCCATGCTCCCAGAGGAAGGGATTTTTAACTGTATTATTAAGAGACAAGTACCCCAAATCTAAAATAAGGACCTTGTACATTGTAAGCATTCAAATTCTTAAATGCAGGAAGGCTCTTCATTGTTCACAAAAGATATATTCTAAATCCTTGTGGATGTTAGAAACCCATGGATGGTAAAGGATTTTACACAGCAATATCTTTTCCATGTTAAGTAGGCACTGGGGCTATAACTTTGCAACTGGAGATGTAATAGCAAAACTAGCATGGGTTTCTTTTTCATTTTTCCCAATTTTACAGCTAGTACATTTTATTTTTACTATAGAACTTAGCCACTCCAGCATAGAATTTTCTTGTTATGTCAAGAATGTCCACTGTTTCTGTTAAGGAAATGCATTATGGCTTCACTTTCATGCAGCCAAATTGCTAGCATTGCTGTTATTGTGGCTGGGGGCCTTTATTCAGTAAAACAAGCGTTCTTTAAACACTAGCCCTTTAATACAGCAACAGCTGATCTGATCAATGAGCAGGTGGTGCATGTAGTCTACATACGCTGGACAGAGGGATGACTTGCATCCTGGGTGGGAAGGAGCAAGAGGGATCACACTACTCAGAATGGTGAGCATCTCTAAATTAGTGAGTTTCTTATTTCTAAAAATTTTATGTTTTCAAACTGTCATGGACCATAGGCAACTGAAAGTAAAACCATAGACTAGGAGAATCTACTAAAATACATCAGACACACTGCTGGGATTTGTGGGGCACTATAAAAAAAGATGACATAATGACCTAGAACTTTCCCTGATAAAGTGTGTAAGGAATGCAGTTAATCAAGGTGGTTTTTTTCCTTAAGATGTATTTATTTTTTTATTAGAAAGTCAGATTTACAGAGAGTAGGAGAGAAGAGAAAAATATCTTCCTTTGCTGATTGAGTCCTCAAGTGACTACAACGGCCGGAGTTGAGCTGATCCAAAGCAAAAGCTTCTTCCAGGTCTCCCGTGCAGGTGCAGAGCCCCAAGGCTCTGGGCCATCTTTGCTTTCCTAGGCCACAAGCAGGGAGCTGGATGAAGTGTAGCAGCCTGTTATCCTAAGATAGGCTGTTAGCATAGAGCATCACTGACTACCATACACCAGTCCTCACCCAAGCTATGGATGGGGGCCTGTCTGGCAGGGCTAGGTACCATTACTTGACTGGGTGGTGGAATAATGGACTGGTCACATTTGGCAGGGTCAAGACACTATCCAGCACGTTAGAGAGCCAGATTCGGGGGTAGATTCTGTGGGGGAAGTGTGAGCCCAACCCTGTGGAAATACAAGTCCCGCAGGTTAGCCTGCGAGCTGGGGTGGTAATGGGCTAAGTTAGGAGCGACCATGGCACCTGCCATCACTTAATGGGTAAAGGAAGCAATGGCAATTTGGGCAGGCCAAGGCAGCACCACCCGAAGGTGCATCCTAAAATAGGATGTGGGATGGGCCAAGCTGCAGCTGGAAGGGGGCAGACTAGGCAGGGACAAACAAACTTCAACTCCCCCCCAAAAAGAAATCAGGATGGAGTACATGTCATTCCAACCTGGGCTCTTACACCAACTGGTCTGCATGAGATAGAGATACTACGGCACAGCATTGAAGACAAAGGCTGAGACAGGGAAGGGGCTAAGCTACCTGGGTCAGAACAACCACTGGCACATGCATAATCTAGGGCTGGGAATAGACTTGGTTGGGGAGCTGTGAGAGTATACCCTTGCTGGTTGGGATTCCCATGGGAGGTGCGGGGGCTGGAGTTGGGGCTGTGTTCCGGTCTGGATATGGCTGCAATCTCCCTTGGCACAAGAGTGGACGGGCTGGGCACACCAAGCTGGGCTAGAAGCCAGCACCATCTGGTGCTCTGGAGAACCTAGATAGATGTAGGATGGACTAGGCTGGGTCTCTGTCCCTACTGAGCCATGTGTGAACAGTGTCTGAGTATGGACAAGCCTTGTCTGGGGTGAACATCCAACACCAAGAACTGGAATGGATTGAAGGCCAGCAATGAGGGCTGACCCATGGAACCACCAGTACGTGCAACACCTGGCATGGGGAGAGGTTCTGAAAGAGGAGCTTGGGAAACTCTTCTGTTGGAATACAGTCCCTACAGGTGAGCGTAAAAACCATGATATGGAGTAACCCAGACCAGGCCAGAAGAAGATACCCACCATCATATATATAGCATAGGTGGGGGGGGCAGACCAGGCTGAACCTGCTCACACCAACTGCTGACGAATCCGAGCATCAGCATAGACCGTGGGTCAGGCCAGCTTCAGTCGCAACACATACCAGTGCAGATTAAGGAATGCCAAGGTGAGGTGAGCCGTACCAGATGTGGTTGCAGCACCTAAACAGCACATGTAAGAACCCGGGGGGTGGAGGGGAAGGGGGAGAGTCAAAGTCAGCAGGGGAATGTGGGCTCCCCTGCTGGACAACCACTCCTATTGGAGAGCACAACTTGGGAAGGGGGCAGATCAGACCAGCAGGGCTACAACACCTGTGCGCCTCATGTGAGCTAGATAAGGGAGGGCCAGATTGAGCTGACTGTTCCGACTGGTGCAAGCAAAAGTTACAGTGGGTGAGAGTTGGTTGGGCTTTGCTGCAGCATTAGATGGCAGAGGCTGGCACTGGGGGCTAATTCTGTCAAGTTAAACCACAGAACCACCTGGAGAGTGCATAACCAAGGAGTGGGAGTGGCCTAGTAGGGAGATAGTGGGCACCTCCCTCAGGGTTACCACTCCAACTGGAGAGCATGAAAACCAGGACAGGGGCTGGGGTCGCAAGACAGAAAGGCACCTGCCAGTATGTGTGTGGGCTGGATAGTAGGTTGGTTGGGTTGAACTAGGCTTCAATGCCCATTGACATGTATGAGAGCTAAATGGAATGTGGGACAGACTGAACAAGCCTGCAGTACATACTGGCATACATGGGAACCAGGATAGGGGGTAGGCCTGGTGGGAGTTACGGGGAGTTGCCCCAACTAGGCTGCAGCTCCCACTGGCTTGCATGAGGACCGAGCATGAAGTGGGTAGGATCGAGCTGGACTGCAACACCCATTGGTTCAAGTGGAAGACAGGGCTGGAAACAGAACTGTCCTGGCAATTGCAACCACCAGCATGTGCATAAGCTGATTGGTGCGACGGACGGTGTTGGACCCTGTACTGGCAAACTCACACAAGAATCAAAGTTGGGATCATCTCAGATGAAGTTTCTTTGGAGAGTCCTCCAACTGAATTGCTGATCTCAGAACCCCAACCATGAACAGACTGTGTCAGCCAGTGGAGTCTGAATAGCTTTCATCACATTTGGAATCCCAAAATTGGCAGCAATTCAGACCTGTTGAACTATCAAAACTGCTTGAGCAGGACCCTCAGAGCGTGCCTCACATTGGGGAGCTGGGATGGGTGGGAGACTTTTCCCTTTGTTTCTCCCCTGACCACAGAAATAGGGGGAAAATGATGTTATTGTGGAAACAATGGTATTACCCACTTTCCTGTAGCCCTTGACCCTGTGTACCCTAATCCACTAAGTAAGATTATTAAAAATAAATAAATAAATAAAAATAAATAAATAGTATAAATATTCCACAATTGCAGCTGCCTCAAAAGGAGGGAAGATAGGAATTGGAGAATTTGAAAATGATTTAAATTCCCTGTTTAAATAATATTAACTCTGTGTTTCAAACCTGATCATATTTTTATCCTCCTTGACTGGAATGATGATGACTGCATAGACTTCCGAGAATATGTCATTAAGCTGACTGTCCGATGCAATCCTGCCAACACTGCAAAACTCCTGGAATGTCATTTAAACTTTTTGATCTTGATGAAGACAGTTTCATAACAGAACAGAAATTCAACACTTTACCTCAGGCAGCTTTTGGAGCACCAGAGCATGATGTTTCCAGACTCTTAGGAAACTACTGGGCAGAATTATACATTCCATTCAAGAGGTTTAGGGAATTTGCCCTGCAGCATGTGTCATATGCCACGTTGTTTCGCTCTTGCCTACACCTCCTACCATCCTACAGAGATCCATTACAACAAGCACAGTTTTAGCCACTGTAGTCAAACGCTCCAGTAGGCCTGAAACTGCGGTTGCAATAAAAATTATCCTTTGAGGGAAAAATGGCTTCTTCTATCAGTGGTATCAGCACTTAATTAGATTTTAAATGTCCTGGAAGAACATATCAAATGGATTTTATATGCCTGTTTTTTCAGTGTATTACTGTGACCTAAATGTAGAGGAATAAATGATCTAGTCATAAATCTTGTTCATTCAAGACAAAGTCTTCATTTTTTTAGGGCAAACGTAAGACCAGAGAAACATTATAGCCCATCACTTTTCCCTCACTTTCACACAAGAAATATCTCATCAAGAGCTCCTTTGATATTAAATTA